GGATCCATTCAGCTGAGAAGTAGTTCTGTAGAAAGGGATCTGAAGGTTCTGGAAGACAATAAGCTCAACATAAGTGAACAATGCACTGTAGCAGCAAAGAAAGCCAAGAGGATGCAGGATACTGGATTGCATCAACAAGGGCATCACCAGCAGAGATAAAGAAGTTATTATCCCATTCTACTCAGTGCTTGTCAGGCCACACCTGGAACACTGTTCAGTTCTGGTCCCTGCTCTGCAAAAAAGATGTGGACAGGCTGGAGAGGGTCCAGAGAAGGGCCACTAAGATGATCAGTGGACTAGGAAGCCTGCTGTGTGAGGAGAGGCTGAGAGAACTGGGTTTGATCAGCCTGGAGAAAAGAAGGTGTAGGGGAGACCTCAACACCATGTTCTATTACTTAAATGGTGGCTACAAACATGAGGCTGGGAGGGGACATAGCTAGGGCAGCTGACCTCAAATGGCCAAAGGGACATTTCATACCATATGACATGCTCAGCAGTAAAAGCTGGGAGAAAGGAGGGTTGGGGTGGGAGGAGGCATTCATTCTTAAGGTGTTTGTCTTCTGAAGCAACTGATATGTACATAATCACCCTCCTTCCCAGGCAGTGGCTGGATATCACCTGCTGATGGAAAGAGGAATGAGAGAGCACCTTGTTGGGCACCTAGTGACAAGACAAGGTCAAACCATCACAGTATTTTTTCCTGTTTGCTATTGCAAATGGCTCTTTACTTTTCAAACTAGATGAACTCCTTCTCTTCTTAGGAACAGTCTACTTCACATTTATGCTTGTTGCTGTGTCAGAAACCATGTAGTAAGGTGTTCCACATCACTGTAGGATATGTAAATTACTAAGGAAGTGTGAGTACTTGCAAAGGGTGACTCTGCATTCCTTCATGTGCCTTGGACCTCTGACCAGAGCTAGTCAAACATTGGCATCAGCTCTTGTCGAGCAGATCTGTATCTTAGGTGCCATGTTCCTTTTCTCCAAGGAAGTGAATTCTCTTTGGAATATGTTTTTTTTTTTATTCCCAGCATTTGTTTTTCTGTTTTTCTTTTCTACATGAAGAAGCGACGGTGGTTATTGGCTTTCTTTTTTTGTTTGGTTTAGCATTTCCTAGTAGTGTAACTTCCTAGTAGTGTAACTTCCTAGTAGCCATTTTCTTGACTGCAAGTATTTCTAAGGTTAATTCTAAGAGTATGATGTAAATTCTTAGAAACACAGGTAAAAGATAAACATGGTAATATTTTGTTACTTGTCTGTTCTATATTATTTTCATAGTAATTTCAGAATTCTGATTCCAGACCGACTCAATGGTGAAGGCAAAATCCCAACCAGGCTCTCCAATCAGGCTCTCCAATCAGGCTAACATTTAATGGAGATTGGCTTGATGTGACTCATCAGTCATGGTCTCCAGGAATCAAGCTAGAACAGGACATGATGTCAGGGTTGCAACAGACAGATTCTTCACTATAGCCTATTTCTTCTCTGCTTATCTCTCCCAGCATCAATCTTTTCTTTGTAAATCATCATGCTACAAAAAGGATGTGGCTCCAGCTGCTGAGAAGCGATACTGAAGAACCTTAAGTAAAAACAGTATGGAGGACTGGCTGTGAAGTGCTGTGTGAGATAGTTATTTCCACTTTCCCATGTTCTTGGTGTTCTCCCCAGTAATGCACATAGAAAACTCAAGACTTCTTGGACTTCTGGTCTGCCACTTTTCATACTCCATGTTTTTTTTGCCATCTGTTTACTCTCTTTTAACTGTTCCTCCTTCCTTTCCTCATCCCAGGTTCCTTTTTAGGCATTCGCTTTCCCATTATTTGGCAACTATCTGCTCACCTTTCCTTTAGGGTCCTTGCTTCATTCTTCTTCTTATCTCCCTCTGCCTGCTTGCATGACTCCTCAGCTTTCAAAATCTGGCCCAGGTTTTCTGCACATGATAGCAGACCCATACGACAAGCACCTTGCACTTTTTCTCTTGGAAATGTTTGTCTGGAGTGCTGCCAAAGGAGTCATCTCTAGCCCTGCCTGATTAGAGGAGTGCTTGCTGGCACCATTGCCTCCAGGCTCTGGACATGTTCATTGGGCTTGCAGCAGGAAAAGCAGAGCCTGTGTTCACTTTCCTCTTAAGAAATTATCTAATGTTATCAGAAATTATCTAATGATGTGTCCTCAGCAGTAGTGATCATAGACCTGGTGAGCTGGATGCTAGCAAAGGTGAGTTCATTTGGTCTTCTGTAGCAAGGCATGGTCAAACTCAATCTGCTGTAGAGTATCAACTTGTCAGAAGGAAAATGCATTCACATTTAAAAGCTGTGGTAGCCTATAGTAGTTTTTACAGAAAATATCCATTAAATACTGACTTAAGCATTTTTAACACTAATGTTTTCAGTCTATACAGTCTACTGGTTTTTGTCTTAGGTTGTGAGTGCAGGATGTTACCTAAAAATGTCACCTGAGACTAACGTTCCTTGGTTCTAATTCCTAGCTTTGCAGGTGACTTTATTTTCTTGAGTAGCTCTGTGAAAGTTTCTCCTGCCCATAACACACTTCATGAAATTAAGATCTGAATTTTACTGACGAGGTAATGTGAGGATAAACCGATGCTTATATATTGCAGACATATGGAGAGCACCTTATGCTTACTAAGCATACCAGGAAGCATAAAAATAGGAATAAAAACCTTACAATGAAATATGGCAACAAATTATTTCTCTCAAGTTGCTTCCTAAGTGCAACTTTCTCAGAGTCATTTCAGTCTTTAGGTTAGAATTTTGATCTCAGTAGATGATACCAAACTGGGAAAAGTGGTTGATATACCACTGTGTCACTTCAGAGGGACCTGAAGAGGCTGGAGGAATGAGTTGACAATCTCATGAAACTCAGCAAAGAGAAGTGCTGATTCCTGTACCTGTGTAGGATCTATACCTGGTACCAGCACAGGCTGAAGATGACCTGCTGGAAAGCAGCTTTGCAGAGAAGGCAATGAGCAAAAACTGAAAGAATGGAGTGTGAGTCTAAACACAACAGAAGACTTTTTACTGTGAGGGTAGTCAATCCCTGGAATATGTTTTTAGAGAGGCTGTGGAGTCTCCAATGTTGGAGATACTTTTTTTTTTTTTTTTTTCTTTTTTTCTTTTTTTTAATAAGGAAGAGGAATCCACATATTTCTAGTTAGATTAATTTGGAGAAAGGGCACAGAAAATAACTTTCCTTTCAGTTCTTGCAAAATAAGTCCCAGAAAGCAAATATCAAATATTGCAATAGACATCATAGACATTTCATGGTCTTCCTTGTTTCTTGCAGAAAGCTTTATATACACAGATTAACATTTCTAATCCAATAGGCTAAAGCATCCCCCCAAAATTGCCTAGACTTAGCAGGAAAATCATCCAGATTTCGTATGTGTACTAGTATAATTGTACCTGCTTAGTCCCTGACAAACATTTGCATTCCGCTCAAAATCTTGTGTGGCACAGAAAAAAACAGTAGACAACATAGAGACACATACCTCCTCTTGAAAAAATCCTCCTCCTTTATCTTGTTTGAGTTTGGATTGCAATAGCAAGGACACTTGAACCTGTGGTTGAGATCACGCAGGCATCAGTAAGTGTTTTGCTCTGCCAGTTCACTACTGCACAGTGATATTAAGTAGCAAATGCTGCAAATCAGAAAGTTTATCATTTCCCCTACCGCTTTTTAACTTCCTTAAATTCCCTAGCATGCAGATGTAAACTGCTTGTGAAATTAACTCTTCCTGTTATGTTGTATGAACCAAGCATCAATAGACACAATATGCAAATTCATAATGCAAAGATACATTAATACCCAACAGAAAAAAATGCATAAACACTTGGTAGACATAATACATGTCCAGGCTCATAGACTTGTCCTCCAAAGATACATATTTTCAGAAATACCACATTCTTGAAGTAACAGCAGTATTGTGTGAGTAACCCATGTTTAAAGTCCTTCCAACACAGCCACTTGATTATTTTGGGACCTGTCTGGCTGTATATATCATTTATGACCTCTGCACCAGCAATGTTTTTGTAAACAGATGCAAAATTGTGTATTTGTAGGCAAAGTGGAATGGAAAATATAACATCCAAATTCCTGAACTTTCTTAATGCCCAGCTTTGGGTTGGCTTTGTTTGGTTCATTGAAGTTACAATGTCATGGGTTAGGTGCAAAGTTGTCTGAATTTTCAAACTGAAAGAAAATATAAAAAAATAAATAAATGCTGAATTCAGTAATATCAAGTTCACAAAAGACTTTGCAGT